CACCGGGGGAAGGAGGGGGCCTGCTACCGCCTCCTGGGAAAGATCCGATGCCATCACTGAGCAGCCCATCTCAGGAACGCCGCTTAGCCTGGCGTTTAGCGGGGCGCGGGGCCTGAGGGGGCTGGGTCGCCTTCCTGCGGCTTCCTCCACGACGCGGCCCGGGTGAAGGCTGCTGCTGGGGCCGTGCGGGAGGGGCGGGAGCCACAGGAGGGCGCCCTCGGCGGCGAGCAGGCTGAGGCGTCTGTGCCGACGGCTGGGTGGAGGCAGCAGCTGGCAGACGGGGCAGAATATGTTTAATCGCCTCAGACTGCTTCTGTGCGGTTGAAAACTGCTGGGCGAAGTCTTCAACCGCTCCGCCGAAGAGGCCGGCCTGGGATATGGGGGCGTCGAGCAGACGAGTCCGCTCAACGTCCCGCATATCGGCCAGGTTCAGCCAAAGGTGACGCTCCTGGACCACTTTAGTGGCCATCACCTGACCCAGGGAGCGTGAGGCTACTTTCGTCGCCCGGAGAGCGAGGTCAGTGGCGGCACGCAGTTCGTCGAACGTCCCTGGGTCAGTCCTGCCCTCGTGCATGTCTCTGAGCAGCTGGGCCTGGTAGACCTGCAAGGTGCTCATAGCATGCAGAGCAGCAGCCGCCTGTCCTGCAGCTCTGTGAGACCTCGCCACCATAGATGACGAGAATCTACAGGCCTTGGACGGGTGCTTAGGATTACCACGAGAGGAGGCACTCTGAGGACACAGTTGCATCGCAACAGAGCGCTCCACCGGGGGAATCCCAGTGTACCCATGGGCAGCTGCGCCATCGAGGGGAGGAAAGGCGGAGAAAGCTGACGAGCGTTCACGGGAGGTCAAAGGAGCCTTCCATGATCTCGACAGCTCCTCATGCAGCTCCGGGAAGAAAGGAATTGGGGTTGGCTGAGGCCGTGAGGTGGCAGCCGCACCCAAAAACCAATCGTCCAGCCGCGAGCGCTCGGGGCAGGGCGGAGGGTTCCACTCTAGCCCGATGCTCACGGCTGCCCGGGACAGCATGGCTGTCATCTCGGGATCAGACACGGGCAACGCTGGGACTCCCGAGGGAGGCAACGCAGCCGCATCCTCACTTCCCTAAGAATCGAGCCCACCTTGTGATGCCGCGATCGACATCGCGTCCTCCTCTGGAGCGCCGAATGAAACACGCGGAGCTTCCGAAGAAGCGCCCGCCTGAATCACCGCGGCACTCGCGGGTTGCAACACAGCGGAGGGGGGCGTGGTCTGAGGACGCATCGTCGGATTGCTCCACACCGTTACCCTCAGATCACCCTGTCCCCCAGCCGAACTACCACCTCTCGTGGAGGAAGCAGGACGGGTGGTGGACGCGGGGACTCTCACTGATAGATCATTGAGTCTCAATCTAAGTGTTGCGATGGCCATGTTCCCACAGAAGGAACATGAGTCATCCACGAGCGCTGCTTTAGCGTGCTCAAAGCCCAGACACACAAAGCAGCGCTCGTGCCCATCAGAAGATGACAGATATCGACCGCAACCAGAAGAACACGGGCGAGACATCTTTAAAAAGACGTGCCACGTGCAGCTCTTTTAGGAGAGGAAAAACTCTGCAATGCTGAGGCGACCAGGGAGAAAACACAAAGTCTGGCAGACCACTGCACAGATCGCAGGCAATGTGAAGACTCGCTGGGTACCGCCGTCACACCAACACTGGAGAGTTCGCTCATCTCGAAGAGGTGAGTCACTTGTAAACTCAGGTCTTGTGGCTGTGGAGTGAAGAGGTTCTCTTGGCTCCGAAGCGAAAACATGATCTGCTGTTGCAGGTGTCTCTCCTTAAATACTCACGCGGTGAGGCGGAGATACATTATGCAAATTCCGCAGACCCATGGCATTTCTTTGCCATTGGCTCGTTTTTTAATACTCAAAGAGGACTGGCTTTCTAGCGAAACCCCCATTCTCCGTCATCCGACGTAACTCGGAGTGACTACGAAAGGGAACTAATGCCATGCTTCCTAATGATATCTCCTAAGGGTAGCATGTACAGAGTGAACAGCAAAGGTCCTAGTACTGAGCCTTGTGGTATGTCATACTGAACTTTTGATCAATAAGACATCTCTTCATTTACTGCTACAAACTGATAACGGTCAGATAAGTATGATTTAAAACATGCTAATGCAATTCCACTAATGCCAACATAATTTTTGAGTCTATTTAAAAGAATGTTGTGGCCAATAGTATCAAATGCAGCACTAAGATCGAGTAACACTAATAGAGAGATACAACCACGAAACTATGATAAGAGCAAATCATTTGTGACTCTAATGAGAGCTTTCTCATTTTTATGGTACGGTCTAAATCCTGACTGAAAATCCTCGCAGATATCATTTCTTTCTAAAAAGGAACATAGTTGCGAAGATACTGCCTTTTCTAGTATCTTTGACAGAGAAGCTAGATTCGAGATCGGCCTGTAATTGACTAAATCTGTAGGATCAAGTTGTGTTTTTTTAACAAGTGGTTTAATCATAGCCAGCTTAAAAGTTTTGGGTACGTATCCTAATGACAAAGATGAATTAATGACATTAAGAAGAGGATCTATGACCTCTGGAAGCATCCCTTTCAATAGATTAGTCAGTATAGGGTCTAACATACTGTACATGTTGTCGATTTAGATGATTTAACGAGTTTAGAAAATTCTTCCTCTCCTATAGCAATGAATTAATCAAAATTTTCCTTAAGGAGACAACAATACACTGCCTCTTTCCATGAAATGTGAAAAAACTCTAGTTTTGTTTTCTTGCAGTTGGTCTCCATTTTTCTGGCTGCTCTCTTAAGGGCCTGAGTGTACTCGTTGTACCACGGCGTTGGACTATTTTCTTTTATCTTCTTTAAGTGCAAAGGAGCAACTGTGTCTAAACTGCTGCAAAAGAGAGAGTCAAAAGTTTCTGTCGCAATATTGAGTGCTTCTAAGCTATCTGGGATGCTGAGGAGATGAAACTGATAGGAATATTATTAATAAAGCAATCTTTGGTGGAAGAAGTGATAGGTCTAACATATTTGTAACACAGAGTCAGCTTTGCAACCCTGGCTAGATGGAGTATACATGAGACCAGATAATGATCTGAGATCGCTCTGCTGCAGAATTTCAAGGGCATCAACATTTATTCCATGTGATAATATTAGATCTAGAGTATGATTCTGAAAATGAGTAGGTCCTGACACGTGTTGTTTAACTTCAAGTTATAACTCCAAGATAACTATTTTTCGTTATCTACATGTATATTAAAATCACCAGCAATTAGGACTTTATCTGCAGCCAGTACTGACTCAGCAAATCAGCAAATTTTTTGATAAAGTCTGTATGGTGCCCTGGTGGCCTGTATATATAGCCAGCACAAATCTCAAACGTAATTTATCATTTACACTAGATAGTGTTACATTAAGCACCAACACTTCAAAATAATTATATTTAAAACAAGACTTCTCAGTAATTCTGTAGATATTACTATTGTAACGGTCACCAGCTGGAGTGCCCTTGAGAGTCACCAGAGCTGGTCCACATTAAACTATTGTCATTCCCTCATAAACTACATTTCCCATAACTTACTGCCTGGTCTCATCATCCCTGATTGCATCCACCTGTGTCTCATTACCTTGTCAGTCTCAGCCTATTTAAACCATGTACACTCATTCATTCTCTGCAAAGTCTTGTTTAGTGTCACTCACTATACAATTCTAAGCATTCTCCCTGGTTTAATTTGCCTGTTCCGTGGATTACTCTTTTACCCGTGTTCCCTGTGTTGTGTTTGTTTGTATGGACTGCCTGCCTGTGTTTGACCCTGCCTGTACTTTGGATTACGTCTTTGGATTACCTTGTTCAATAAATACTGCATTTGGATCCACAACCTTTGTGTCTCAGAGCAGTTCGTGACAACTATAAATTACAGCAACACTTCCCCCTTTGCCTTTCAGACAAGGCTCATGTTTATAACAATAATCTTGGGGGGTGGACTCATTTAAAGTAATGTAATCGTCTGGTTTTAGCCAGGTTTCGGTCAAACACAGCACATCTAGGTTATAATCTGTAATCATATCATTAACAATAAGTGCTTTTGAAGTAAAGGACCGATTATTCAGCAACCCGAGCTTTATCATTTGTTCATCTGTATTATATCTGTTTTTTATTTGTTGAACATCAATACAATTTTTACCCTTAAATGGGTTAGGGAGTTTTTTGTATTTCCTAATTCAGGGAACCGACACAGTCTCTGTATGATGATATCTTGGTGAAAGAGTCTCTATGTGATGGAATTTATCTGACCTCAGTGACGTGAGACAGCTAGCAGACGGTCGGTTTAGCCAGTCTGCCTGCTTCCTGACCTGAGCCCCAATTCATGATTGCAAGGATGTTACCCAATCAGTGGCCAAACGGGATATACATATATATATATATAAAATGTTTGTTTTTCTTTTTGTGCAAAAACGTTATTAACATTATAAGTGAATCTCAAGAAACATGTTAAAATCAAATATCAACATAAATCAATGTCATGACGACCCCTTTAATTATTTTAGTTATAATTGTTTTAGTTACTTTAAAATCATTTTAGTTAGTACAGTAATTATTTAAATTGTTGTGTACAATTAATCATTTGAACATCAACATATCCAGCCAAAACACTTGAGTGAAAGTTTTTTTTAGAAATGCATTTGAGTAAAAGTAGAAGTATTCAGTTGCAATAGTAAAAGTTCCACAAAATAGTGTGAAATACATAATTTCACTCGCTTGTGAATTATTCTTTCTAACACAAATGAAAAACAAAATGCAATATTTTTGTAGTGGGGGCCAATGAAAGTATTAGTAGAGCAAGTGCAAATCTGAAGCACCAGCCTGATTGAACAAATAGAAGAATCCTTATTGTTGAGGCCTGTAGTGTTTCAGTTGACTCTTTCCTCTCCTCCACCCTGTTTGTACCATTTTATTGTCTTCTCTTTTGCCACTCATCTCTTATTGCAGACACGTGATGTTCCGATCAGCTGTACAAAGGGTCAGCTTTCTCCCGGTAAGTGTCCGGTTTCATTGTGATTAATATAGTCTAACCTATAATGTATATATTAAAAGCTTTGCCTGTTTTCTCCCAGAATGGTTTGTAAAGCATGTAGATTCATGTGAGAGAGTTTCACTGATGCGCGTCAGTGTTGCACCTCATGCACCGTGGCTTCAGTGGCAGTGTTGGCTGGTTATTCGAGCTGTGCTGGCAGCTGTCTAGTGTTGACGGAAAAGTGAGGATGCTAAATCATCCTCTGGGTCTCATTAGGGTGAACATTAGGGCTTTGTGTGGTTGTAGAAGGGTGTCGTTTCATGTCAGACAAGTGTTTTGTCAAAGGTTAAGTAGCAAAGAAACCTCAAGCTTATTCTTAAGATGACAGATCAACAGCAAACAGGCAAATTATATTACTCAGAGGCTGAACTTCCATAGTTTAAGGCTGGAATACAAACAAGACTGAACAGATTTTAAAACACTATATGGCATCATATACTTGCCAACTTAAATGGTTATAGAGAAACACTGGGCATCATACGCTAAATGACTGAGGATTACACACTACCAGACTTTAAAGTTGTTCAGAACACAACAAAAGCCGTTTTTTCACCGTCTGGCTGAACGACTCTATGAACGGTAAAGGCACTCACCCACTACAAGATAATCAGGACGATTTTGGTCCCAATACTCCTCTTCCGACAATCCCAGGTAAAGTCCAGATTATCTTGATGGATCTACAGATTATTTTATTATATTTCCCTGTGGTGTGATCTGTGTTAAGAGTCATTGAATCTGCTCGGGAAGAACACCAATCTCAAATTGTAAATATCCAACATGTTAAATAAATAAATCAGAAATAATGTTGTGTGGGTGGAACCACGAGGACAAATGGGCCAGCCTGGTTCCAATTTCCACTTGTATCAAGTGTGATATTTATTTTATGCAACAGGTAAAAATGAGTTATTAATGAGTGATTGGTAACACTTAACACTAACACTTTTGGTTAGTTCACCCAAAAATTTAAATTATCCCATAATTTACTCACCCTCAAGCCATCCTAGGTGTATATGACTTTCTTTTTTCAGCCAAACACAATCGGAGGAATAAAAAAAAATATCCGGCCTCTTCCAAGCTTTATAATGGGAGTGAATAGAGCCTATGATTTTGAAGCTTAAAAAAGCGCATCCATCCATCATAAAAGTAATCCATACGGCTCCAGAGTAATGGAGGCCTTCTGAAGCGAAGTGATGCGTTTTTGTAAAGAAAAATATCCATATTTATAATTTTTTAAACTATAATCACTGGCTTCTGGCAACAGCCGTACGTGAGTCGAGTTCTGGTGGAAGAGTGACCTCTGACCCGATGCACCAGCCACTTATTAGGTACACCTGTTCAATTGCTCTTTAATGCAAATATCTAATCAGCTAAACAAATGGCAGCAACTCAATACATTTAGGCATGGTCAAGACAGCACAGGCCCACAACACACCAAACCTTGAAGCAGATGGGCTACAGCAGCAGAAGAACACACCAGGTTTTATATGCTAAAAAGTTGGCCAGTTTAGTCCCAAGTAGTATTGAAGAAGTAGGCTGCACTTACAAGTTTACTTCTACTAATATCAGTGTACTAGAAATTCTAGTACATTGATATTAGTATACTTAAACTTTACTACATAAAGTATACTTAATAAAATGAACTTGAAGTATACTTATTATTCGTACGGGTAAGAACAGCCTACAATTCACACAGGTTCACCAAAATTGGACAATAGAAGATTAGAAAAATGTTGCCTGGTCTCATGAGTCTCGATTCCTGCTGCAACATTCAGATGTTAGGATCAGAATTTGGCATAAACAACATGAAAGCATGGATCCATCCTGTATCAATGGTTCAGGCTGGTGCTAATGTAATGGTGTGAAGGATATTTTCTTGGCACACTTTGGGCCCCTTAGTCCTATAATCAAATGGCCTCTACAGTCCAGATCTCAATACAATAGATAGAGGACCTTTGGGATGTGGTGGAATGGGAGATTCACATCATGGATGTGCAGCCGACAAATCTGGAGCAACTGCGTGATTCTATTATGTCAATTTGACCAAAATCATTTCCAGCACCTTGTTTAGTCTATGCTATGAAGAATGAAGGCAGTTCTTAAGGCAAAAAGGGGTTCAACCTGGTACTAGTAAGGTGTACCTAATAAAGTGGCCCATACCTCTTTTGTTTGTGGATAAATCTGCGTTTTTGAACAATCACTTGTTATGATGTTTTATTAACAAAGTTCGGGAGAAGTACGTTCAGATAATTAACACGGGCGGAGAGCACTCGGCAATCATGATTAAAACGTGTATATATAGACTCAGCAGTCTCACCTCATTCTCTGACAGTTCAGCAGCGTCCCTCCACCACCCCTTCTCCACTCTTCTAGTCCTAAACCACTTTACATACAGGGGGGGAGTACTCTGGGTTCGGGCCGAATTCCGAGCTCGGAACCCTCCCCCCGGACAGCACGCCAAATACGCATTATACTTTATTCCCTTTAATTGTATGTAAGTGTGAACTCGTGAATTAATGATTCAATGACTCACTCAGGTTCACCTTAAGGCATTTGAAAATACAGAGAAAGCTTTTTTTGATATTGATATTTTCTTTATTGAGTTGTGAGTAACTTGTTTTGGAAGGTGTTGAATATGGCTTTTTTGGACAGGAGTCCCTTAATGAAATAATAGCTCAGTGCCTCTTCAGACATGTGTAGTATGGCACAGCTATCCGCTCTTGTCCAGGGGAATGCCGAGCTGGCTGGCCGTCCTATAGAAGAAGGGCGCAACGGCCTGATGCCTTTAAAACCAACGGAAGTTGACATCATGAGCAAGCAGGCAGAGGGAAGTGAGTTCCACTGCAGCCAGCATTAACACCTCCGGCACAGTTCAACCCGCCACACACACCACTGCACAGGCCAGCTGGATCAAGTGAGGCTGCCGGTGGAATCAAATGGCATGTAATGATAGCAGACAGCTTCTGTAGCACATGCGCTGAGCAGTGAAAGTTCTTTTTTTAAAAAAAAGCTATGGTTTTGAAAGCACATAAATAGACCTATTTCTGTGATTATAGAGTCAAGCACAGGTTGATGAAGTGCTTTTTTTGGAGAACACTAATTAGATTTTTTGATCTTCCAATCTAAAGGAATATTTCAGGCCGTGGAACACAAAAGGGCAAGTTTATCAGATTGTCCCTGCTGCTTTTTTAGCATATAATGAAAGTGGATTGCGATTTAAATTAATAAGGTCCATGAAAGATTCATAAAAGAAGTTCATATGAAAATTTTGGGGTGAACTATTCTATCAACTGGTTAATTTAATTAAATTTGAATTTTAATTTTGTTGACTTGACTTCCATTAATGGATTTAGAAGGAGGGACCAGCACCTGGACATTACAATCCAAGGCCAAGCACGGGCATTGCAATCACTTCCTGCTTTAGGTCTACGGTACCACGGCTGTACAGTGTGCATTCGGTGAGCTCCATTTCTATCCCTGTTCGATAACAAGCTCTACAACCCTACATTAAGTCTTACAACAGCAAAACTAGTCTCAGGGCCATCGATTTACAACACCAAAATCAGTGTATTGATTATCAGAAATGGGATGAATGTGCATGCTATAAAGTAAAATGGGGCCAAAAGTCTCAAACCTTTGCTCTTTTTTTTCTTTTTTTGACAGGGAACTCCCGGACCAGGTGTGCATGAGCCCACATGGCACAGAGGTCAACGGCTCAGCACTAAGGGCAAAGTGGACTGGGCCTATGACCTCCTTTTTCGCAACATACCATGAACTTTGCCCTCTCTTTTGTCTGAGTTTCCCACAAGTATTCCTTCTAGTAATATTTCCCATTCTTTTGAAAGCAGGGTGTTGCCAGCTGGTATGCGACTGATCTTGTTAAAATGTGGTTGAAATAATGTCAGTTGTTGTTTTAACATTGAAGTAAGTTAAAAACAACGTTTTATGCTGAATTTTTGTAAAAGGGTAAAGAAAATATGTATACATTTTAATAAGATTTGTAAGATATGACATTGAAACAACATTGTAATATTAACATTGATTCAATTTAAATAAAAAATCTATCTCTGCAATCTCTGTTATGTCATGAACTGACTGTGTGGCTGCCCATGTATTGAACAAATCTTTGTGATGACTCTCACATTCACATAACTCATTCAGCCTGAACAAAGAGATCATTGTCACACAATAAAATGTCTCAGTTACTAATGTAACCCTCGTTCCCTGAAGGAGGGAACGGGAGACGTAACGTCGACGTGACGACGTAATTGGGATCACTTCAGGGAGCCCTATCATCTTCGAGTGTCTACAGAACGAGCCATTGAACGTCGGCGTGCGTGAATCGCGTCACAAGCCCCGCCCCGCAGCGCGGGTATAAACAGGAAGCGGGTGCACACACTCTTTGTTTTTCGCTGAGGAGCCGAGATAGTGACGGCCGTATAGCGATGGTCAGCAACCGTGGCCACCGGACGTTACGTCTCCCGTTCCCTCCTTCCGGGAACGAGGGTTACATTAGTAACCGAGACGTTCCCTTTTAGTCGCTCACGTTCGATGTAAGATCGACGTGACGACGTAATTGGGATCCCATGGAAAACGCCAGCGCCCTACGCAAGACTCTCAGACACCCAACTGGCTGGGGCGGAAGGCCTGCATAGAGGGAGTTCAACTGCTGTTCCGTTATAACCCACACAGTGGAACTCTTGGATAACACTGGGAAAGCGTGCCTTTCCAGGGGAGAGGGACGCTGCGGAAGCCAAATTCTGCCCGAAGGGAGGTAACATGTGGAGAATACACATATGGACTGGCCAGTTAAGGGCAGTGCAACATATGGAATGTCACTGGGGTGCTCCAGCCTGAGAAGAGGGAGGCAACACCGGGCAGTGACAGGGAAAGACACGGGCTCACCGCAGGGAGCTGGTCGTGGAAGTATACGCATATGGGATCGCCGCAGAGATCACCACATATGGAACCCAGCCTAGCATAAGTTACACAAGGCAAGCATACGAGCACTAGGCGTGGTGTTGGACGCTCCGTGGTGCGGAGGAACTCTACAGGGTTCGTCTAAGAGGGGAACTCGACTAGAACAAAAAAGTGCACGTATCCGCTCCATGTGGAGGGGAGTGGCGCAGCAAGCCGACACTAGAGCGGGAACTTCGGTGTTACCGGCTGGTTGAAGCGAGCACACAGGAAGAAACCGGCTCAACACGTAGGCTATAGAACCTAGCGAATGTGTTAGGTGTCGCCCAGCCCGCAGCTCTAAAGATGTCTGTCAGCGAGGCGCCGTGTGCCAGCGCCCAAGAAGAAGCGACACCCTGAGTGGAGTGGGCTCTCAACCCGGGCGGGCAAGGCACGCCTTGGGCTTCGTAAGCCAAGGCGATGGCATCCACTATCCAGTGGGCCATCCTCTGCTTGGAGACAGACTTTCCCTTCTGCTGGCCTCCATAACAGATGAAGAGCTGATCTGAGGTCCTGAGGCTTTGCATTCTGTCCACGTACAGCCGCAGAGGCTGAACGGGACAGAGAAAAGCCAGGGCTGGGTCTGCCTCCTCCGAAGGCAGCGCTTGCAGGTTCACCACCTGGTCCCGGAAGGGAGTGGTAGGAACCTTGGGCACGTATCCGGGTTCTAGGCACGATTCGTCGGCCGAAAATGCATGCAGGTCCCCTACCCTCTTGATGGAGGCCAATGCAACCAGGAGTACTGTTTTACAGGACATCATTTTTAACTCCGCTGACTGCAAAGGCTCAAAGGATGGTCTCTGAAGTGACGAAAGGACCAGAGACAGATCCCAAGAGACAAATCCCCCAGAGAAAAATCCCTTAAGATGCTCACGGCCACCGCTGATAGCGCTGTCACACCAACACTGGAACAAGAGTTTTCTTAAACGTTTTCTTCAACGTTGCAGCAGTCTGCAGAACTCAGAGTCAAACAGTAGCTCTTCTCCAAAGTGAAAGACAAGGAGTGTGTGCGCCCGCTTCCTGTTTATACCCGCGCTGCGGGGCCGGACGCGTGATGCAATTCACGCACGCCAACATTCATTGGCTCATTCTGTAGACACTTGAAGATGATAGGGCTTCCTGAAGTGATCCCAATTACGTCGTCACGTCGACTTTACGTCGAACGTGAGCAACTGAAAGGGAACTGCTGTTTACAACACTCACACACAATAGCTAGATTAACCCTATTGTTGAAGTCCTGAATAATTCTGCTGACATTAATGAGAATGTACATGTGGGTTGTGTAGGACTATATTTATGTCTATATCTAATAATTAAATTTAATCTACAGTATATAGCTACTGTGTGGTTAAATTTACCAAATTCTGAGTAAAAAATTAATCTATTTCCCATTTTTCTAATTTAATGCTAAATGTTTATCGGTGCATTCAGTAGTTTGGTGCTCATTTAAAAAGCTGTACACATGAATGCTGTACACTCACATGAAATGAAGACTGTACTCATAGTAGTTTTCTATAAAAAGTATTTTAATTTTAAATGGTGCGGGTCACCCCTCACAATGTATTTCACCATGTGGAAATGACGTGACCCGCACTGTTTCACTAAACATACAACAATAAAGTAATATCTTCAGAATTACTGAGACGTCTAGTTTCAAATATAATTCTTTTGAAGTGTTGGTGCTTAATGTAACACTATCTAGTGTAAATGATAAATCACGCTTGACATTTGTGCTAGCTACTGTATACAGGCCACCAGGGCACCATACAGGCTTTATCAAAGAAATTGCTGATTTTTTATAGGAGTTAGTACTGGCTGCAGATAAAATCCTAATTGTTGGTGATTTTAATATACATATAGATAACGAAAAAGACGCATTGGGAATGGCATTTAGAGACATTCTGAACTCTATTGGAGTTAGACAACACGTGTCAGGACCCACTCATTGTCATAATCATACTTTAGATCTAATATTGTCACATGGAATCAATGTTAATGTCATTAAAATTCTGCAGCAGAGCGATGACATCTCAGATCATTATCTAGTCTTGTGTATACTCCATTTAGCCAAGGTTGCAAAGCCGACTCCGTGTTACAAACATGTTAGAACTATCACTTTTTCCACAAAAGATTGTTTTATTAATAATATTTCATATCAGTTTAATCTCCTCAGCATCCCAGATAGCTTAGAAGAACTCGATTTTGCAACAGAAACTTTTGACTCCCTTTTCCAGCACTTTAGACACAGTTGCTCCTTTGCGTTTTAAGAAGATTAAAGAAAATAGTCCAACGCCGTGGTACAACGAGCATACTCGGGCCAGAAAAATGGAGCGCACCTGGAAGAGAACAAACCTAGGCGTTTTTTGAATTTCTTGGATGGAGAACACAGTTGCGTACAGAAAAGCCTTAAAAACGGCTAGATCTGCTTATTTTTCGACACTCTTAGAAGAAAACAAACACAACCCTCAGTATTTATTTGACACAGTGGCTAAATTAACAAGAAATAATGCTTCTACTTCTGAAGTTTCCAAAGAGCATAGAAGTAATGACTTTATTACTTTAATGACAGTAATGACTTTCTTTACCTACAAGATTGGTAATATTAGAGAGAAAATTGTAACTATACAACCATCTACTACAGTATCGCATCAGGCAGTGCATTGTAGTGTCCCTGAGGAAAAATTCCATTCATTCGTTGCAATAGGAGAGGAAGAATTGTTTAAACTCGTTAAATCATCTAATCAACAACATGTATGTTAGACCCTATACGACTAAGCTACTGAAAGAAATGCTTCCAGAGGTCATAGATCCTCTTCTTAATATCATTAATTCATCTTTGTCACTAGGATATATACCGAAAACTTTTAAGCTGGCTATTATTAAACCTCTTATTAAAAAAACGCAACTTGATCCTAGAGAATTAGTCAATTACAGGCCAAACTCAAATCTACCCTTTTTGTCAAAGATACTAGAAAAAGCAGTATCCTCACAACTATGTTCCTTTTTAGAAAGAAATGGTATCTGCGAGGATTTCCAGTCAAGATTTAGACCGTACCATAGTACCGAGACTGCTCTCATTAGAGTCACAAATGATTTGCTCTTATCATCCGATCGTGGTTGTATCTCTCTATTAGTATTGCTTGATCGTAGTGCTACATTTGATACCATTGACCACAACATTCTTTTAAATAGACTCGAAAATTATCTTGGCATTAGTGGAATTGCATTAGCATGTTTTAAATCATACTTATCTGACCGTTATCAGTTTGTAGCAGTAAATGAAGAAATGTCTTATCGATCACAAGTTCAGTATGGAGTACCACAAGGATTCCATAGTAGTACTAGGACCGTTTCTGTTCACTCTGTACATGCTACCCTTGAGAGATAGCATTAGGAAGCATGGGATTAGTTTTCACTGTTATGCCGATGATACTCAGCTCTATATCTCTTCGTGCCCCGACGAAACTTGTCAATTCAAGAAATTAACCTGAAATTCAATGAAAAATTTGGAACAGTTAGTTAATGCGTTCATGACCTCAAGGCTAGATTATTGTAATGCTCTTATGGGTGGTTGCCCTACACGCATAATAAACAAACTACAGCTGGTAATAATATTGATCTGCCTGTCTTGACACTATTATACAAGAAATGAACTGAGCTGGATGATGATATCACGGTTTACTCCACAGCAGCTATATATATATATATATATATAAATGAACTAAATTAATAACTTTTTTAGAACAAAAATGAAACATCACTGAACTTACTTACGTGTGACGCTATTTTCTTCTGGAAACAAACTTTTTTGCATTATTTTCCTGTTATCTATGTAAAGCTGCTTTGAATCAATCTGTATAGTAAAAAGCGCTATATAAATAAATGTGACTTGACTTGACTTGACAGCGATAGATGTCAGCACTGTCTAACACCTTGTAGTATTGGTACTTGAAGACGGAAGTTGCGATAGTCCTTTCTTCCCTATTGTGACGTATACCTGAGTGAAACGGCTTCTCAAACAAGAAAAAATTTAGGGTGGGACTTGATTTTGTCTATCGGGAATTTATTGGATTGTTGGATCGTTGTTGTTGGCTATTGGTCGATCTCATGTGAGTAACAGGTTGCCCCGCCCTCAAACTAGTAAACACACTGTTGCAAGAGGGAGGGTAAGTAATTTTGATTAAAGATTACAAGGGCACATGGATTTTAAAAAAGAGAAATTATTTGCACAGATAAATCATTTTATTAAATAATGCAAAATTCCTT